AGGTTAAATAAGGAAAAAGTGCTTTCTCTTGTCCTCCAGACTTGCCTCGGCAATTCCTATATACAGTGATTGAGAGATGCCAGGAATGGCAGCTGAGTGACTGCCAGTAAGTCTGGTGCAGATCTTTGAGAGGCCCTTGCAGAGAACTTTATCCTCCTGCTGCTTCAGTTTGAGTTTTTTTGGGAGTTATGTGAACAGTCTAGCCTGGAAATGTTTAGCCAGCTCAGGTTACAGTAACGACCTTTTCCAAGCACAGTCATTCAGGTCAAATATAGATCATCTAGGGTTACTCTGTGCAGCCAATGGCCTAAATCAGAACTTGCATTTTTAAGGTGCTGCAGTGCAAAGGTTTTGCAGCAATGTTTTGCTGTAGCCTTTCAAGGTGTCCCTGGCAGCCAGCATCAGGGATTTCGGTGTAACAGCCAGCCCAATTTGCCCCTTACCACTGGAATCTCCGTGCTCCCCAACGATCCATCCGTGGCAGCTCAGCGGGTGGATGCCCAGCCTTTCTCCCATCAGGTGGCGGAAACGGGCAGAGTCCAGATTGCAGCCGCTCCCAATGACACGGTTTTTGGGGAAGCCACTGATCTTCCAGGCCACATAGGTCAGAATATCCACTGTGAGGAGAACAGGGGCATAACAAACACCACTCATGAGCAGACTGATACTGAGGATGGTACCTTGCATTCATCTGTAAGCATTTTACCACATGCTAGTTTCAGGAACAGAGCACAAAGCCGTGCCCATGGCTAGGCACTGCAGTGGGCTAACATAATGACTGTTTAATATCACATAATGACTAGTTTGAACAGTCTCTCAGCTCTGCCTTTTTGCTATGCATGCAATCATCAGTGACCCTAGTGTGCTCAAGATCACTTGGTCTGAAATCCCAAGTTTATTTCTCAGAAGACCAAACTGCTGAGCCTGGAGAGGGAAGATGACATTTTTTGCTATACAGATACCATAGAAAGGCTTTGGTTGAAAGGAACCTTAAAGGTCATTTCATTCCAACCCGCTGCCATGGGCAGAGACACCTTCCACAAGACCAGGTTGCTCAAAGCTCCATCCAACATGGCCATGACCATTTCCAGGAATGGGGCATCCAGAACTTCCCTGGGCCACCTGCTCCAGTGTTTCACCACCTTCATAATAAAAGAATTTCTTCCTTATAGCTAACCTAGAGCTACCTCTTCCAGTTAAAGCAGTTGCCCCATGTCCTATCACTACATGCCCTTGTGCAAAGTCCACCTCTCTTTTAGGCCTCCTTTAGGGAGGTTCTCCAGTGTCTCCCCAGAGCCTTCTCTTCCCCAGCACAAGTATTTTCTAAAAGCCTGTGCACTAATGCCACCTTACTGAAGAAAGATTATTCTCTAAGCCAAATCCTTTTAAGGCAGCACAAGACAAACCTGGGTTTGAGACAATAAGCAGCTTGCAGTCAGGGCTGTATTTAACGACGTTGGGAATGATGAATTTGAAGATATTCACGTTGCGCTGCACCAGGTTAAGGCGGCTCTCTCCTTCTTGCTGCCGGGCACCAGCAGTGACAATGACCAGCTTGGAGTGTGCAGTCACACTGTAATCTGCAGACAAAAGGCTGTGTCAAACATGACCTCTACTACATATGGTTCAAAACAGGAGTTCTCACTTCCTTTCTGCACTGAGATCTCAAATTCTCAAGTCTGAGTGTGCAGCAATTCCCCAGTAATTGTTACCCTAGACTTTGCCTCTATAGAAAGTGAAATTTAATTTTAAGACAGTGGTTCTTGCCACAACATTGAGGCATGTTGCTATTTTAACACACAGCTGCAGGCAGCCTTGCTCCTTGCTTCTCAGCCACAAGCGGGACTGGGGATGGCTGTTGGGATGGCATGCAGGGTAAGTGCTGTGTAGAAGAGGAAGAAGGCTCTGCCCTCATAACCTACTACCTGTAGGAGATGTAATTAAGGTATGAGCTGGTTAAGCCTTTGCCCTACTCAAGGCTGCCACTAAGTTATCAGAATTAAGCTGTAATGAGTTCAGGGGTTAATTGGTCATGAAGTAAAGTTCTCTAAGGTGCACAAGTACTTAAGAAATCCATATTTTTGTACTGAGTAGTGAACACCGGAAGAAAATTCTTAGCTGGACTGGCCATAAGAAGGTATATTTTAAAATGTCAGCTGAATACTATATCCATGAGCTTTCCCACCAAGAATTAGGGTGACAGGCTGTCCTTGTGAGACCTGAAGTGGCTACCTCCATTTAGAAACAATGGGCACATGTGAGCCAACTACTTGCCTTTGCCAGAGACGATCTTTGGAGTTTTAAGGAAGAGGCTGCCATGCTGGAGATCCAGCATCTCTCCTCTGAGCTTGTCCTCCACCACATCAACAAGGGCAAGCTCATCAGCCAAGTCCTACAAGAGACCAAGAGCAGTGGTGAGTTTGCTGCCTCTTTCAGCAAACCATGGAGTTACAATTATTTTAAAAACTACTTGAACAATTTTGGTCATCTCTAACACTTCAGAGAGTCCTTCAATTAGTCCCCTGGGATATTCACTTTCTACTTTTCATAACCACATTTTGCATGAAATAGGAGTAGAATTAAGCAGGACAACAACAAAGAATAATTTAATAGTGATTCATATACAACCTATTTGACCATCAAGAAAAGCAAGCCTGATGTTAACCACAGCATTTTCAGTATGATAACTGAAGGCAGAAGACAAGTCATTCAGAGTGTCAAGGACCAATTTTTCCAGACTACACTGCAAAGAATCATTCCATTGCTCTGCTCAAGACAAAATAACCCTCAGTTCTCAATCCTTTTGTATATTTAGAGTGTTAAGAGAATTCCTACTTAGAAGGAAGTCTGCAAGTCCCACAAAGGTAAATGCAGCTCTTAAAATGATACATAAAGGTCATTCTGCCTGATCCTGAGGCAAACTTAATCTACAAGAACTGCAGCTATTTGTTCTCTGTCAATAGCTTGAAGACTTGCTTCATTTCAGGCCCAAAAATCATTGTATAACCAGAAGTTCATCTAATAAGAGTGACTACTTTTTTTGCCCCTCTTTTAGGTCTCAGGCTCTTCTGCTGCTTCCTCCCAAGCCTGACACTTACCTTCATGAGAATGCTGATGGCACAGGCCATTCCCACTGCACCCACGCCAACCACACTGATCTTATTTTCAGCATGGCTCTCCTGTTTGGCGACAGTGTGGATGAGCTGATCCTTGAGAGACATGGTGCACTGCTGAAAGGAAAGAAACATCATTTCTCTAAGCTTTGGAGCTTTTACAGATACCAAAACAGTTATATCCAGCAAGACAGACTTTATTCCAGGATGATAAGAAAATGGATACAAAACACATGAATAAAATGTCTGGCAATGCTGACTGTATGCCACAAAATGATTGCAAAACTGAATTACTGGTGACAATCCTCTGTTCAAGCTCACCCTAGCTATGCCTCAAGTACAGCCTGACAGCCATTGATTATATTCCATAGCTGGTAGCACTCCAGCAGCAGCAGAATGTTCTAAATGGCCATCCATATTACATTTCGGTTCAGGAAGCCATTTTAGTACTTCTAAGCATAGCACAGTCTGGCACTCTCTGCTCTCTCACCCTGAAAAACTGGTATTCTGTGCCCCGAAGCCTTTCCAGAGCTCTAGTTGTGCAACACTTAGGCAAGCCCTTTTTTAGGGCAGCATGAGCCTCCACGTCAACTTCATGAATTTGTTTTGAAGTGAAACTGCAGAGTTTTGCATTAAGATGGCTGGAGTCTGGTATTACCATCTCTCCCACCCTCACATTTTAGCTGCAGCTGCCCAGCATCCTGGTTAGTTGGGTTCTGAGAGCCAAGGGAGTGCAGAAATGGCGCAACGATGACAAAGGATTGTGCATTCATCCCCGTCTCTGCGTGGAAGCCACCACCACCACGCTTTCGCAGGAAGTGGTTCTGCACTGGGAGCTGCGCTGGGAGCAGCCCGAGGAGCCCAGGGCAGGAGCAGCTGCACACACGGATGCAAGTACAGACACCACACGACCGGCTGCGTGCTGAACAGGCAGTGACTCGTTCAGAGCATGGGAAGCCGAGCCGAGCAGCAGGTAAAGAGTGCAAATTTTGGGGCTGAGGGGAGGGCCAGGAAGCCGGCAGGGCCCATATTTAGGAAAAATCAAGCAAGCTACGTCAGTCTTCCTGTGCAGGAGCCTCCTGAAGCGTGGCCATGCAGTGCACTCCCCACGTGCCAAGTCCTGCCTCAGCACTATAAGCGCTTCAAGGCTGATCAGAGCCACCCACTCAAGCACGTCTCTTACACTTTTTTTTTTTTTTCCTTTTAAGAGTGCCATACCCCTCAAAGAAACAAGAGAATGTAGGTGGTCCACTAATCTGTATTTGAAACGCAGCCCTAAACCCATCCTCAAGTCTCTTTGCAGGATCACTCCCTGGGGCCGCACGCACCGATTACGGGAAGCAAGTTAATCCAAGGAGGCTCAAGGGCATGGAGGGAGGGACGATGGGGGGCTGTGACTGGAAATCACGGGGCTGGACTCCATCCCAGGGCTGTAATCTCCATCCCAGGCCCGTGCAGATTCCTCCACGGCCGGGGGGGTCTCAGCGGAGCAGGCGGCGTGGAGCGGACTTTGTCCATTTGTCGCCGCCTGCTCCACCGCGTCCCCCGGAGGTTTGTGGGATCAGCGCCACCTGCGGGACCAGCATCCCCTGTGGGACCCCTTCTCGCTCTCCCCCTGCTCCTGCACCCCCAGCTCCCGCACCCATCCCCGCCCGCCACGGCGATCGCACCTACCGAGCGTCCTCACCCAAGCGCGGCTGTGACGGCGGGGCGGGGGTGGTGGCGGCCGCCGCCTTAAATACGGCCCGGGCGGCTGACGCGCGGCGGGCGGGTTGTGGCGCTGGGGACGTGCCCGCCGACACGTCGGGGTGGAGAGACCGAGAGGGAGGAGGGGGAAGGAGCAGCGGGAAGGAGATGGAGCGGAGAAGCGGAGGGTGGAGGGAAGCGAGCGCAGGGGCTGGGGCGGGGCTGAGGCGCTGAGCTATGCGTGCCCTCAGGACTCGTCTGAGGGCCGTCGGCCGGGGAGATTTCACTCGCTCTGCTGCCGGTCGGGATAAGTGACAGCAAACGCTCCGGCTCTGCGGAGTTTGTGGGAATTCAAGGCATTCCTGCCTTTGTTTCCAGCCCGGGCAGTCCCAGCCCTGCGCTCCTCCTCAGGGGTTTATAGCCATAGTTCCGTATGGGGCCTCTTCTCGGGTGGCTGAAAACCAGCTTCTCATTTCCATCTAAATCAATAGCTGTTTGTGGTTTTTTGTTTACTTCCCTTTTCCTTGTAGTTACGTATCCAATTCCCTCACATTTGTTGTGTTAGGTTATATAAGCCAAACCTTTTGAGCCCTGCACGGTCATACAAGCGGTTCCCTGGTCATTGGGATGTATGTTCTGCGGCACTTTCTCAATTTAAATGCTTTTTAAATGCTTTTTCTCCTGAGAGGGGCTGCTGCATGGAGTGCCCGACGGCGGTGCCTCAAACACAACACTAATGTTTTCCTGAAGCTGGTGGAAATTCCATGACTGGGCTCGCACTGGTCGCTCTCAGTCACACCATGCCGTCAGTTTCCTGTCACCCTGCTGTTGGTTAGTAAAGACAAATCCTTCTCCCATTCACTTATTTCTTGCTCGGACTCCCAACAAAAAGCAAAACTAATTTTTTAAAGTTTATTTCCTGAATGCCTGAAGTTTCAATTTTGTGGGTCATCCTACAAAACTGGATTTTAGTAAACCCACGCTGCCTTTTATCCCTTTCGTTGAATAAGATGTTTTTAGTTAGATTCCCTTTGCAAGTTTTTCTGAAGAGCTGCACAGACATCAAAATCACAGGCCCAAACTGCTCCCACCATGGCTTACTTCTTAGAACTTGCTGTTTTCTGGCCCTGTGATGATGCCTTCAAGTAGGCAAATTTACTTAAAATCTTTTGGATTTGTGCACATCAGGGTTCTGGAACTGAGAATGCCTGGCTCTTCCAGCTGGAAAACAGCAAACTGGCTGAGTTTTGCTCACCATCTGTGAGTTGTGTTCATTTATTATCTTTTACCCACTTCTGCATTTTTTTTATTCTCTTAGACATCCTGTCCTTACCCCATGGATTACCATGTTCATCCTTACTGAAAATCAGGTAAGTAGTAATTTAATCTTGTGTGAGTAGCTGTGTTACCTTTATTTTCTCATTCTTGTTTTTACAGCAATCTTTTTGCTTCCTTCTTTTTTTTTTTTTTTTCCATTTATTGTAGTTGTGGTACCTTTACAATCTTTGACTTTATTTTCCTTTTGAGATTTAACTGATTTTTGGCCATATCTGTCCTCAGCTCCTAGGATGTGCTTGAGTTCCTTTGGAGGTGCTTATCTTGCTGTGGCATGCCTGGTCACACACCATCCCAGTGACAATTCCCTTCTCCTGGGGTGATCTGACAGCAAAGGTAACCCAAAACCTCACCATTTATTTGAGAGCTCATTGGCAAAATAACAGAAACAAAAAATACTGGGGAGAAGACATCTTGAATCATAGGATTTACATAGATTTGCATGAAACAAGACAGAAAAATACAAAATTCTGCTTATTGTAAAGACCAGCACTTCCAGCAAGGGAGATTAAATATACATATTGGTTGTTAAAGATACATATTTATACATAAATATACATTTTGGTTGCACTAGATGTGCTCTGTTCCTTGCTGCTGCTGGAGGAAGGAGCAATGCCTGTGGGATGTGCCATTTCAGAAAAGACTGGTCACTAAGGAAGGGAGGTGTGGGTAGATGCTGAGCTTGCCCAAAGCCACATGAATGCAGGGTGAAAAGGAAACATAGTTCTGTCATTCTGCATTATTCTGGGTTCACTGAGCATCTTGTTCTCTCAGAAGCCTCAAGGATGGATTAGGAAGCTTAGTTCTGCATCCCAGGAATCTGTATTTACAGTGCCTCTATATGAATGGGACTGAACAGCTCATCCAGGTTGGAGTTACAGACATCTGGCAGGACAGAAAATAAACATTTGACAGGAATTAAGACCAATAAGAAATATTTTTGCCTGTAAAAACTTTTACTTCTAAAGAGTTTAAATGCAAGATAGGAAGCTTCTATGACAATACTGGCTGAATAGAATAATAAGCATTTTAAAATAGGTAACTAATGTAAAGCAAGTGGTATTTTACTACTCACAGTGAGACCAAAGCTCCCAAGAGAACACTATTGGAATTGTAAGAATCTTCTTAGGCTGTGGCTCAGACAAAATGAACTTGGACATGGTTTTCAGGGTGCAAGTTCCAGTAACATCTTCACTTGCCTTCACTTGTGTTGGTGTTGCTTGTTACTGAGAACAGAACCAAGAATGAATTGCTGTTATCTATAAGGCATCAGGCTGTCCTTATCTCTCTGGTGCCTGTTCAGATACCAGGGGTTTTAGGAGAGCAGGCCACAGAAAACCAGCTGGGATGTTTCAAGACTGTCCTGGTCCCAGTGTGTCCTCAGTGATGATGATGATAAGCAGATTAGAACCCTTTTTAAAATTAAAAAATAGAGTCAGCTTTAAATATGCCAGTGCTCATTCACCTTTTAACTTCTCTCAGTTACAGAACTGAGAAGGCAGCTGTGATGGCCACATTTTTCCTTTTATGTGGCCTTTGGGATCTTATCATCAGCAGTAGATGCTCAGGAGGAGAGCAGTCATCTGGCATGATTGACATTGATTTTCTGCCTCAGAGAGCCTCAATGAGAGAAGGCTCAGAACTGCACAAACAGAATGGGGGGAGCAAATTACAGGCATTTTTCTTGCACTTGGAACATGGAGGCCAGGTCTGTTTTGATTTCCTGTAAGTGATTGATTGTAGGGATGGGCTGACTTATCTCACATGTGTACATAAGAAATTTTATTCTTCCTGTTCTTTCTCCACTGCTGCCTTTTATCGTGGTGGCAGGAGGTGGTGTTGATAGAGTGATGGGAATGCCAGAAATGTGACAGTGTCTCTCCAGGGAAGCTTGACCCTTCCTCAGGCTGCTTGCCCTCCTTTTCATAATAGTTTTCACAGATTAAACATGAATAATAAAGCAACAGAAGTTGCTGAATGTAGAAACATTTATATTTTTATTCTAGGAGTTAGAAACAGAGCCTTTCCACTGGCCTCAGGTGGCATTTGGTCAGGATCTGAGTGATAACAGATGGAAACAAATGCCACATTCTTATTAAACAAGGTGTTTGCCTTCAAACTATGAGATACCATTAGACCATTGTCACAAAAATAAAGACCAGAGACAGTTATACAAGGTGAGTTCAATGTGTACAATTTGCTATTTTCAGTAAAACACGAAATGTTAGTAAATTTCTCTCCATTTTGCTAGTATACAAGAGGTTTTACACGGTGACATTTAATTTCTGCTCTCTCCATTTGCTCAGGTCCTGGCTCATGACAGACTGAGTCAAATCTGATGGTGGTGCAGGGGTGAGCAGGGACACCAAAGCAGGACCTGCAGGTTTGCTGAGTGACCTACAGCTCAGCTGGGAGTTATCAGTAACCCAAAGCTACTGGGGATGCTGACCAGCCCTGGAAAGGGCACTGGCATTTCTTCCTGAGACATGAGGTTTAATTTGCCCTTAAAAATCCTAGGGGCTGTTCCATTTATGATCAGTCCTGCCTTTGCTCTGACATCATCAAGGGCTCTGCTTTCACATGCTGTCAGTGTGTGAGGGAACCTGGCACTGCACACAGCTACATCATGTTCCTGTCCTGTCTTTCCCTTTGATTTATTCTGAGACCTGAACAATTTCCTCCAGCTTTAATGGCTTCGTTTCTCCTTTGTAAAATGTGAAGGTGTTTTTGCCTATCAACTTGATGGTGGTACTGCAGAAATTTGTTAATTATGAAACATTTCAGCTTTATAAAGCAGTATGAAATTGATGGATGGTATTTTCCTGAACTAGACAGGCCCAGACTCCGGAGTGAAACTTGACACCAAAAGTTCATAGAGCCAGATTTCTTGCATTATTCTTTTGAAATACTTACCAGGGTAAGATACAGGAGTTAGTTCATACTCCATAAAAATCCATATTTTGTGTTGCTCCAGTTTGGTCAGTACAGCCACATCAAACCATTTGAACTGATCTCCTAAGAAAACTAAAAGCTGAATTTCATCCTGGCTTGCCCTAACACGTATCTCTGCACAGAACTGATTAGCCGGGACCCATACAGCTCTGGGTCTCTCTCCTTGGCTGCTCCCATGCACATGTGAGGATGCTGGTGTTACAGACATCCAGGGCTTTTGCTGCTTCACGCCGGTTTCTCTGCACCGTCATTGTGGGCAAGGGGAGGGGCCAGCTGATGCAATTCTCATTTCCGGATGTTTACGGCTCCGTGTCTCTGCAACTTATTTTTAAATGTGCAGGAGGGGAGTAAATATGGAGAGCTGTGTAAGTAAGAGTCAATTTCTGGAACACCCAGACTTCCACAATGTTTTTTCGGTCAGTTGTCTGGTTTGATTGCAAACTGCTTTCTAGCTGACGTCTTTCAATACCCAGAACTTCCCAGTTACGCCAGGTTTTCTTTTCCCTTTAAGAGGTTGATTATGTTTGCAAGTCCAACTGCAGTGGATTATTAATTCAATATAAAGCTAGATCAAACTGTATTTTTTTGCAGTGTTTCCTAAATCAACACTCTAGGTAGCTGGACTAAGTAGAACACATGATTTTGTCTTGTTTCTCTAAGGAAATGAATGAATTCATGAAAGCATGAGTCACCATGCAAGATTCCAAGCCAAACCCATTCCCTTGATGCAGCTTTGGAATCTTATTCATTTACTTAGGAACTGCAAGAAATGGGATGCTCTGATAAGTGACATGCACTTAACTACACAATATTGCCTCCCTTTTGGACAGAGACACTTTTCCAGCATTTCAGACCTTCTATATCTGGTTGATGCTCTGTGTGATAGCAGATTATGCATTCTCTCCCAACCAAAAATCAAAAAGTTTGTGTCCAAACTTTCATTTCTGTTAATCAGAACTCCAAGTTACATTGCTGGAAAGTCAGCCTCCCTATGGGGAAGAAACTGCTGGGCCATACCAACCACTGCAGGAAGCTGAGAGCACTTCTCAGCATTACAGACACACACAGACTTGGTAGAGGAACCTGTGTAATAAAGGATTATCCCTTCCTTGGAGGAGGAAGATGAAGTTTAAGTTGCAGTTCAACAGATGCAGCAATAGAAGGGAGACAGGCAACCAGGTGCTTTCAGTTTGGTTCCCACACCTGGGCCACCCCTTAAAGAGCTGCAGCTGGGCTGCCTGAGCCTAAGGGTGGCAGGCCTGAGGGGTGATGTTGGCTTGCATTGCAGACCTCAGCTCTTCTCAGAGGGGAAAAATAACTTCACTGTTTCTGCACAAGGTATTCTTTTAAATATTGGGGTTTGTGGTCATGATGGTGGTTGTTGGTAGCTCTGTAGGTGGATTCAGAGCCCTTAGCAAATGACATGACTGTGGCATGCAAGTACTGTCCTGGGAGGTTGCCAGGCAGAGTTTTAAATGCAATTTATATCCTGTGTGCTAACAGCAGAGCCCTGTTGTCCTATGTATGTTCAAAGTGTGGCTTGTCAGGAAGGGAAGAGTGATTTCTTCTCCTTTGCAGGAAAGAGTTGCTTTTTAGTCCAAATTTCCTTCCACACCCTTTTAATTTTAAGTCTGTATTTCTTAATTGAAGCATGATATTTTGCACCATGACTCAGTACCAAAGGTCTGAACTAGGGCAGTGATTCCAAGGAAAAATGAAGATGGGGAGAGAGAGGTGCAGCCCTGATTGCTACAGGGCAATGGTCTTTTGACTCAGCTTTATTATCTAGCTGCATTGAGATCATGAATATGCTTCAGGCAGGCACCAAGCTGCAGATCTCTGTTGGGAGCACAGCTTTGCAGCACAGGCACTGTAAAGGCCCACAGCAGAAAGGACTCATCAGCTAAAGAGGCAGAATGAACCTGGGGGGTGAAAGTGGTAAAGCAGAACAATTGCCAAATATGGTTCTTGACTTGGCATGCCGTGTTTTCCAAGACTATTACACAAATACTAACTCTTATCTCCATTGATTAATTCAGAGGTTTTATTTATACTTTAGTTTTAAATAGAAAATGAAAGGTTGCTGCTTGCCTATGGACTGCCAATGAATCGTTTTCACAGTGCTAATTGTGCCATTTCTGACTTGTGTTCCCTCTGTGCATGTGTTTGGATGAAATTGCACAAATGTTTAGCAAACATTTGCAGGGCATGACCTCATTGTTTTGCAAACTGTGATGAGTCTTGTTTATGGAGGAGAATATTACCAAAGGGAGGAAGAGAGAAAGAGTGACTTTTAGCTCTTGTGGAGAAATCCTGGTGCTTACAGAGCCTCGTGGTTCTCCAAGTTGGGCCCTATAGTAAGAGGAGCAGCATGCCTGTGTCCT